CCATTGCGATAGCAACGGAACGATTGTAATATCATGGGGAACTCCGTTCCCATGACAATATATTAACATCATCCTGCACATTGTTTTTTTATTAAAGCATGACCTGAGTCGCAATCATTGCATATATTCGTAAAGTCGGCTAATAGCTCAACTTTTGTTTTTGCATTATGAGTAGCCGAAAACTGACAGATCTTGTCACTGCTTACTTGTAGTTCATCTGGTTGGTGTATGCCAGTTGGGAGTGGACTATGGGATAGGGCAGCTTCCATTTCTCCCTGCCTTTTGACCTGCTCAAAATGGTTGATCCTCAAATATCGCGGTATATGTCCGAAGCAAGTTCCTGAATCGGCCCAGTAAGGGTAATCCTTCGCTTTCGCGACTCCTACTCTACGGATGTGCTCCAAAGTGGGTTTTAGACTGCCGCCTTTGCAGCCATTGCACTCCTTCACGCAGTCGATTAAATCTACCGACATTCACATCGAGGAAAAATACAGACCAAGCAAAATGGAGGTAGAAATTGCACGCTCACTCCAGTCACATACTAAAAATAGCTTAATTACCAATCGAGGAAATAAGACAAAACTACGTCTTATCGCCTTCAAGTTCAATATAGGCAATACGAGCTCCCACGTGGTCGAATAGTGGTATAGCTTCGTTAAATGGCACGCTCATTCTGACCACTTTCAAAAATAGACGGGAACAGGATATGACAAAGAGTGAAAATACTCCTACGCTCAAGGAGAATAATATAGTGGACTGTAGCTTTTCCTCCCAGCCGCCCGACACCAATATGATAAGGAAAAGAGAGGGATAGCGGATAAGCTGGCCTACCTTCGACGCATGGGAGGACCGCAGATCACATGCTGAGAAAGAACCTCACTCCGGGCTCAAATACTGAAACTCACTCCATAGCTAGAAGCTCCGGCGGTCGGCGGAGTAACTACTCATCAGTGTGAAATGAGAGAGCGAGAATAAAAATAGGAAACTAATCCAGAGATGGTCAACTCGATAAGAATGATAACACCAAGCAGACTATCATAGCATCGGCAACTAAATAAAAAATGAAAATCTCACCAAAGCGGAACGGCTCTACGGCGGACGGCTGATGCGACTTACCAGAAGTGCGGAAGCAAAACCAAAACTAGCAGAAAAGAAAACTTGAAAATAGCAAGGAGCACAGGAGCAAAAACCACGAGTTGCGGTAGAGGTAGCAGATAAGCAGAAGGATAAAGATAACCTCTTCGCACTAGCATAGAAGAAGTCAGAGAGACTAGAGGGGTCAGCTACCTAGCTCGGGCGGCGGTACGGCGGGGGAATTCGGAAGCGGACCGGCTCGGGTCCGGGCTGGAGCGTGCTACCATCTGTCGGCATGAGGTGGCATTAGGACAGATGGTGCGGCGGGAGATTCGAAATCTCTGTTCAGTCAAGGGTACACAGTACCCAACATACCCCCAGCCTTGGAGCCTGTAAGGGTCCAAAAAGCAGGGTAAAGCGGCGGCGGCGGTACGGCGGACTGGAGTGCCTAATCTCGGCACTTATCACAGAAGCAATTTTGGGCGACCCCTACTGGTAAGTTTTGGTAACGTAGGAAGGGTGCCTCTAGTGCTACTATTGGGCGGCGGTTAACATGTACAACCCTGAAGTCTTCAAGGACTTCACGGCGGGGCATCTCCTCGGGTCGGATTAGAGGCTGAGGGGATGGCTGCCTGTACATCTGGGAGGGCAGTAATCTGTGTTGTTCCGCGTCCTCAAATTGGGCTGGATCGGCACTACGCCCTGCTTCTGTTGAGTTCTGAGCGGCGGCACTAGACTGCGCTCGGCAGGCGAATCCGGGTGCCCGTTGCTGCATCCGTAGTATCAGAGCGGTCCTGCTGCGAGCTTTTACTGCCGATCGTGGTGGCGAGGCTCCGCGGGTAGCTTTCGGCGGGTTCCTGCGATTTGCGTCCCTCTGGGGCTGCAGGCGAGACGAGGAGGAGGCGGTTGATTGCCCCAGGATGCGATGGAGGATTGTGTGGTGTCTCCCACCGCAATCTCGGCACCCTTTTTGGGAGTTGCACCTTTCTAACGGGTGGTTTCCCAGGCAGTTTGTGCATCTGCCGCTGCGGCGGATCTTGTCGAGCCTGGCTCGTGATGGCAGTTGCATCAATTCGGGGCAAATCATGGAGACGTGCTGTAGCGCGCAATAGTTGCACGCGCGCGGAGCTATCGGCGGACGGCGGTTGGTGCGTCGTGGTGACGGAACGGAGACAACGCTTCTCAGGTCTCCGCGGTACACGACGCTTATCACTGAAGAGGCGGATGACGATGAATTAGAGTCTTCCATTGTACCTGAAAAGGAGATTAGAGTTAGACTGAAAATTGCCTAACCCATGCTTGCTCTGGCGGCGGTGAATCATGCGTCTTCCAATGGAAGTGGGAAAAGCCTGTGGACCGGCCGGAGTAGTTTCCCTTGGGGGGTGCGTACAGTTGCGACTCGTACTCTTTCGTCGGCGCCGGGATGGATCTTGACGATTCGTCCGAGTGTCCAGGCGAGCGGCGGTGAATTGGGTTCCTGAATGAGGACCAGTTTTCCGATTGCGAGCGGCGGTGTGTCTTGGGTCCATTTCCCCCTGGGCTGCAAAGTTTGCAAGTATTCGGCGGACCAGCGGCGCCAGATACTCTGGAACATACCTTCTACCAGGTACCATCGTTGGAGCTTCGGTAAGTCTTCGTCGACGATTTCCGGTGCGGGTATAGCGTTCATGGGTCGGCCAATCAGAAAATGTCCGGCGGTTAACGGCTGCAAGTCGTTCGGGTCGGCGGACATTGGAGTCAGCGGTCGGGAGTTTAGCATCGCTTCTGTTCTGCAACAGAGCGTTTGGAATTCCTCAAGCGTGAGTGTAGAGTTTCCAATGACTCGAGAGAGATGTCTCTTTGCCGATTTAACCGCTGCTTCCCACAGGCCACCTTGATGTGGCGCTGAGGGCGGTTGAAAATGGAACTTAATGGTGTTCCTTTGAAAATACTCCCTCAGGTCTTCCTCTGCGTCTTTGACTAATTTTGCAAGGTGATTGGCTGCTCCGATGAAATTCTTTCCGCAGTCCGAGAATAAGTCGGTTGGACGGCCTCTCCTTGCGGTGAATCTTTCTAGTGCCCTGATGAAGGCTCTGGAGGTTAATTCGGAGGCGACTTCCAGATGTACTGCTTTGGTTGCAAAGCAGACGAAGATGCACAGGTATGCGCTTACGTGCTTTGCAGACCGCAGCTGGTGAATTTTAACTTGGAAGGGTCCCGCGTAATCCATTCCTGTTTTCGCGAACGGCGGTGACGGGGTGACTCTCGCTCTTGGCAGGTCGCCCATCAGTGGAATTGCTTGTCTAGGTTCTGTTTTGAAGCAAACTACGCACTTGTGAACGCATGCTCTGATGGCTTGACGAGCGGCGATGATCCAGAATTCTCTGCCCAGCGTTGCTTGCAAGAGGCGGGGCGCAGCGTGTAGGTTCTCGAAATGATAATACCGTATCAGCAAACGGACTAGTTGTTCCTTGGCTGGCAGAAGTATAGGGTGTCGTGCGTCCTCGCTAAGGTCTGCGTGCCGCAAGCGGCCACCGACTCGAACGAGCCCTTTGTCATCAATGAACGGGTTTAGAGTTTGGAGTGCCCTAGAGCACGCTGTCTTCTTTTGCAGGCACTTTATGTCGTCGGCGAAGTGTTTATTTTGTATGTACTTAAGAAGCCAGTACTGAGCCTTAGCTCTCTCCTCTGTGGTCGGGGGGTGGGTTTGGGGTCCGAATTTCCTTACTTCTCGGCGTTCTGTAATCGGCCCGTGGTTTCGAGATTGACAATTTTTTACAAAACGTGCGATCCATCCTAGCACTCGTATTGCTCGTGACCAGGAGGAGAATTCGGGAAAGAGTTCGGGGCGGGACTGTTCGCTGACTAGTAGAACCGTGGCGGGTTCTCTCATCTCAGATAGGGCTTCCTTGGGTGGTGCTGATGGAGTCGTAAGCGGTATCGGCCATAAACTCTTGGGTTCCGATAGCCACGCAGGTCCGTGCCACCATAGCGGGTGGGATGACATCTTGTCGGGTGGGACTCCTCTTGTACCGCAGTCGGCAGGGTTGTCCAGCGAACGTACGTGGCTCCAGCCAATTTCGGCTCCAACTTCTTGTATGGTGATAACTCTGTTTCCTACGAAGGTTTTCAGGCGGTATGCCGGTTGCTCGATCCATGACAAGGTGACAGTTGAGTCGGACCAACAGCGTACTTCCTCCAAGTTGTACAGTTTCCGTAGCTGCGGTAAAAAGTCTTTCAGCATTCTTGCTAGGAGGGTAGCGGAACATAGTTCGAGTCTCGGGAGGGTTACTCGCTTCAGAGGAGCAACACGAGTTTTTGCCATAACCAGGTTGACTTCGGCTGGGGATTCAGCACTGATAGCTGACCTCAGATATAGAACTGCGCAGTATCCTAGCTCCGAACCATCGCAGAAACCGTGTAGTTGGAAAGAAGAGGCTCCTGGCATGTGCATAAGTCTGGGTATAGACACTTCCTTCAGGCTTGGCAACAGGGTTAAACAATTTTCCCATCTTTGTTTGACCGCTGCGGGGAGCGGGTCGTCCCAAGCGATGTTCAATCGCCACAGTTCTTGCAGAAAAGATTTGAACAGGAATACGGTCGGGGCGATCCAACCGCATGGATCGTAAATGGATGCGACGGCGGACAGGATCCCTCGTTTTGTTGCGGCGGGCGGCGGAATATGAATCCTGTAGGTGAAGGAATCCCTTCGGGGAAGCCATGTGACACCGAGGATGCCGTGGCTCGGATTTTCGGGGTCGTCTAGGCACGGTAGCTCCAGGTCTTCGACCGGAAGGCCCTCCAGTAATTCTGGGTAGTTCGACGTCCATTTACGGGGGGAAAATCCGCCGAGAGCAAGGAGTGCTATTAAGGCTTCCAACTTCAATTTGGCTAGCTGAATGTTGTCGTCGCCGTCGCAGATGTCGTCTACGAAAATGGCTTCCAGCAGGGTCTTTGCGGCATCTGGGTATTTGTGTCCGTGATCTTTAACCAATTGCAGGATGGTGCGAATGGCTAGGAAGGGTGAGCAGCATATTCCAAAGGACACTGTGTTTAGCGAGTACGTGCACAGCTCCATTTCCGGACTCTCCCGCCATAAAATAAGTTGGTATTTTCGGTCATCGGGGTGCAGATCAATTTGAAGGAACATTTGCCGTATATCGGCGGAAAAGACGACTTTGTGGCGGCGGAAATTTATAAGTATGGATCGTATGTCGTTCTGGAGTTTGGGTCCCGGCAAGACTATATTATTCAGGGAGACGCCATTGTGGCTAGCTGCTGAGCCGTCCATGACCACACGAAGTTTGGTGGTGGATGAGCTTTCTCTGAATACACCGTGGTGTGGCAAATAGAAGCAAGGTTCAGCAACTTGCGAAGAGGCTGGTGGGAAATTATGCAACTTTGTCATAAAGTTATTTGCTTCGTATTCTCTCATGAATTTGACGTAGGCTTCCTTATAGGCGGGGTCTTTGGCCAGGCGGCGCTCTAGTGCTCTGAAACGGTTCTCTGCCTGATTTCTGGAATTTCCAAGGGGTGGGTGGTTTTCCTTGAATGGTAGGCGGACTTGGTATCTGCCGTTCGGTTGTTGAATGGTAGTCTCTTCGTAGAATCTTTCGGCGGCTTCTTCTTCTGGTGTTCTGGGTTGGGGTGAGGCTTTCACTTCTTCAAGTTCCCAGAATTTTTCAAGCTTCTCAGATAGCGTTCTTAGGCATGGGAATTCGGTTTGGCACAAGAGCGCTGTAGAGGTGAGGGCTGCTTCGGGAGCGTCCGGGGCAATCAAACTGTGCGCTGGCCCTAGTAACATAATGCCGAAGACAGTACCCAAGCCAGTCGGATGGGAGACGCCAAAGTCCACCTTTTCACCTGTGATCAAGTACGGTAGGACGTCGCAGCCTAAGAGAACGTCTACGTAGCCTGGAGCGTCAAAGGTTGGGTCCGCTAATGGGTATGTGGAGCAGACTGTCCGAATTTGGGGTGCTAGCTGTGCCGAAGGAACTCGGCTTGTGATGTTCTTGATAACGATGACAGGATGGTTGTGTCTGACCAATTTCCCATCTCGCGTGAGGAGGTTAACGAGCGTATTTCCTTCTACTGATATAGAATTCTGAGAGAGACCAGTGACGGCCGTGGTGGATCGATACGGCTTTAGCCCGAGAAGCGCACAGGTGCGGCTTGTCATAAACGTGTTCTGTGCCCCGCAGTCGAACAGCGCCCTTACTGTTAGCTGCGTTCCCCCGGGTGATGAGACAATGATCTGAGCGGTTGGCAGCACTGTAGTCGATTTCTCGCTCGCCGCGGCGAACGCCGAGGTTGCGACTGGTTGCTCGTCTGAAGGTGGATCTGTCGGCGGCGTTGAGAATAACGCAGTTGTGGTGTCCATGTGCAGCATGGAATGATGTCGCCGATTGCAGACGCGGCATCCTCGCTTGGAGGTGCAGTTTTTCTCCTGATGTTTGTCTGAAAGGCAGTTGAAACAGAGATTCTTTTTCTTAACTTCCTGACGGCGCTGGGAAACAGTTAGGCTATTGAAAGATTCGCACTGGAATGTCAGGTGGGGGCCCCTGCAACTACTGCAGAGGCGGGTTCCGGGGTACGGCGGCCCGGGTGGAGCTGCTTGGTTCCTGCTGTCGGGTCTCTGTTGTCCATCTTTGGCGATTAGAACTTGATTCGCCTGGTATGACTGCTCCGAAGTTGGGTTATCCAAGATTAGCGCACATTCAGCTTTCAAAAATTCGATTATTTCTTCGATGTCGGGGTAGTCAGTCGGAGACGCCCGGAAGTCGTCCAGGCGCCGGCGGTAGTCAGCTGACAGCTTCTCGTAAAGTATGGCCACCAGCATGGGTGAGTATTTGTTAGGCGGGTGGCCCAGCGCGTCCAGGGCGTGCATGTGCTCCCGCAGGCGAGCCAGGAGTTTAGATAGTTGAGCAGGCGTGCTTACATTTCCCAGGTTCAGCAATCCGGTATACTGCGTCAGGATGCATTTCTTCTTGTTGTGGTAACGCTCGAGGAGCATGGTGTAGGCTGAATCGTAGTTCGCTTCGGTGATCTCCATGGTGCCAATCATCTGACGGGGTTCTCCTGACAAGTAGGTCATTAAACGCGACAGCTTGACAACCTTGGGAATTGCTTGGTTGTTGTGGACTGCGGCGTTGTAAATGTTGAGGAATGTGGCCCATTCTGATGGGTCACCTGAAAATTGGGGAACGGCGATCGGCGGTAACTTGATTCCGGTCTCGGAGGCTTTGGCGGGAACTGGCGTGGCGCCGGAATTCCTGAACTTCAGTAAGTTCATCTGAGCGCAACGGACAAGTTGGTCAAAGCTTTTCTGAGCGGATGAAACTGACATCTGAAGATCTTTCGGGGCTCCGATGTTGAAATCCACGATACGCTGTTGTATGTTGTCGTAGTCCGCTTGGATCTTGATGAGGCGATCCAAGTCTCCAGCGTACATGTGATGATTTCTGTCAGTAACGTCCTTGTTAGATATGTCGAGTATCTCTTGTGCGACGGTGTAGATACGCTCCCTCTGAAGCCTCAGCGATTGGGCGTTCCGCTGAAGGTCGGCGAGTTTCGGGTCCTGGGTCGGTGTAGCCATGATGAAGGAGAATAGCTCCTGAAAGGCTAAAACTACAGCAGAGGTGCAATCCTAAAACCACTCTACAGCACACCACAGCACACCAGAGCAAGCAAGAGGAGAGATAAAATAGCAAAAAAAAGAAAAACAACAATTAATGCTGGTAGCTAATCTAAAGATTTAGAGGAAGGTGCTAATTTTTAGTGCAATTGTGCGCAACATTACAGGCAGTGCAAAAATAATTCTCAAGCAGAAAATGTTTGGGCGATAAATGATGAGCCCGGAAGTGAGGCTCCGTTGAGCGAAAAGCAGTCTCCCTGCGTCTCCAGTAGGCCTGAAGAAAGTGGAGGCAACGGAGTTGTGTCCTAGGAGTGAGAAAACTAGGACACCAATATGTGAAAGGCCAGCTTGCGCTATAAGGGGGATGTGCGTCTGAACCAGATTAGCGTGTCGGAAGGACTGGGCAGAGCGTGAGCCTGTGCTTGGCACGCACTGGGAAGAACGAAAACAAAGCAGAAATACGGCGGGAGGTTTCAGATATATCCCTGTGTAAGGATAGGAAACAGTAACAGTGTGCGGTAAAATTGAAATGAGGTTAGGTTTCGGGTTGGCTGCCCCCAGCCATGCGGTTTCGGTTATGTGTCGGTGATAACGGAAAGAACTGAAAAAAACTGAAAAACAGAGACTGACTCAAACTACATGGGCTCAAGTTCGGAGGACTATGAAACTTCTCTTGCCCGCTCAGATTCAAAGGCTGGGATCAGCTCTTAGCATTACGGTAAGGTACGGCATCCAATGGACTTGTCCAGAAAATTCCGGAGGCTCGGAGGACCATGAAAAATACTCCTACGCTCAAGGAGAATAATATAGTGGACTGTAGCTTTTCCTCCCA